ATGAGTTATACTCACCCCACATGAGTTATACTCACCCCACATGAGTTATACTCACCCCACATGAGTTATACTCACCCCATATGAGTTATACTCACCCCACATGAGTTATACTCACCCCACATGAGTTATACTCAGCCCATATGAGTTACACTCATAACATGAGTATAACAAGAGTATAATTTCCACCCGAACCACAAGATGCGAGCGTGTGTCTCACCTCACGCGTCTTCTGCACCTGGGCTTCGAGAGCCTGCCCCTGGTCTATATTTTTGACCTCGTCTCCCAGACGCTTGCACAGTTTTTTCTTCGAGTTCTCGGCTTGCGTCGAGCTTCTGGACTGCACCCACTGTACCGACGTCACCACAGCAAAATAAGGTAAAAATTAAAGTAAAAGTGCGCCAAAAACCCACTGTACCGTCGGCAACCGTCAGCGGTGCAAAAGAAAGTACAAGTGCGTACAGAATGTGCAAGAATAAATTAAAAGTGTTTACCGAATGTGCAAGAATAAATTGAACGTGTGTGCAGAATGTACAAGAATAAATTCAATGTGTGTGCAGAATGTACAAGAACAAATTAAAAGTGTGCACAGAATGTACAAGAATAAATTCAATGTGTGTGCAGACACCGCTGAAACTTAGGATGCACAAAAGGACGAAGTAAGTGAAGAGCCGCAAGTAATCATGGGGAGACTGAAAATTAAAGTCGCATCAAGAACAAACTATAAGAATAGGAACCTGGCAGTGTAAGTGAAGGTTCAAAATGACATGATGAAAGTAAGGCTGGAGCAGTAAAAGTTAGATAAATTCAATGCAAAAAAGGGAAGGTAAGAATGGTAAAGAAAAATTTTCGATACTTAATCCTAAAGTAATCAGGAGAATGGGAAAGCTCGAAATAAAGAAAATGTAAGAAATCAAAAAATAATCATCTTAAATAAATAATTAATAGAAGAAATGTGCAAGAAGTGAACTGAGCAGCACTTAGCGAAAAGCAGGATGATCAAGTGAACTAAGAACTTTAATTCAAGGAGGGAAAATGTGTTGGGGGGGGATTACTTCGTAGAAGGATTCAAAGTAAGGCTATTGCGATGTGACGGCATCCAAACTGACAAATATGTTGTAAACGACTAACTGAAGCCATAGAAAATGTGTTTCTGTGGCTTGGATATTTTGGTCACTTAAACGAAAATTAATATTTTAAAGGATTCGGAAGGGGCTGTGGCTTAGATATTTTGGATACATAAACAAAAATTTAAATTATTAGGAAGATAACAGTAAGAGTGGATCGCAAAAAACATCGGTTTCAGGTACTTTGAGTGGCATTGTTTCGAACAGAATTAGATGAAACTTCTTCTAAACTCTACGGGCAAAATTAAAGTTAAATTAAATAAAGAGAATTTAGATTTTTTCATTTCTTCTAAAATTTCCATTGGCCTGGAAAATGCAACAAAGAGAAAAATTATTCCATAAGGAAAGTTGTGAATAATGAAAGAATTTGAATGTAAATTTAATCATTATTGTAAGTGAGAAATGCAGGTGGCAACACGTGAAACGAAACCTATATAAAATAATATTTAACAAAAAATGTGTTTTTATTTACAATAATTAAGAAAGCATGAAGCAGAAAAATTGTACAGCCAAATTAAAATCTGAAAAATATAATTTCACATATTAAACATTACGTGCACCATTAAGCATCAAACAAAACCGAGCATAAGGCAATGGTTGAGTACAATTCACTGCGATAAGATATTCATTATAATAAAATATTTATAACGAATCGCTTCAACGCTCGTCATGTTAGGTGACGCAAGCCATAGTTCAAAATAACAAGAGACTTCAAGAAATATAAAAATTAATAGCAGATCCTCAAAGAAAAGTAAACCAAACTAAGATTTGAAACATTATTTATGAAATTATCAAATGAAGCTCATGCTTGTCATGTAAATGCAAGGGTTGCCAGAAACAGTTTATTTTGCAACACCAGCAAGACGACGATGTTGCACCAGTCGATTTATATACACGAGATAAATCCTATAAGTGGATTTTACTTCCTCTGGATTATTAGAATTAACATAGCTATGTCGTAGTTACCATGGGACTTACCGTGAAGTCGTGTCGTATTTGTGATGACGTAGCATCTACCTAGTAGTGATACTATATGGTATTCGTAATATTGTTGTTCTGTCGCAGTGTTGCAAGACTGCTTCTGTTGTTACTGCAGCAAGCGGCAGCAGTAATATTACAGTGCTTCTACAGTGACTGCAGTAATATGAGGACGTAATAGCGAGGGTAGTGGCAGATGTAATGGTAGTGGCAGTATTGTGACAACGTGGTGGGGTGGAGGTGGTAGTGGCAGTGGTAGTAGTGGCAATATTATCAGGATGCAGTAATGGCAGTATAATGAGGACGTGGTAAAAATGGTAGGTAGTGACAGTAGCAGTGGCGGTAGTGGCAGTAGTAACAGGATGCAGTAGTGGCAGCAATACGAGGACGTGGTGGAGGTGGTAGTGGCAGTAGTAGTAATAGGATGCAATAGTGGCAGTATTATAAGGACGTGGTGGTAGAGGCAGTAGCAGAGGTGGTAGTGACAGTACCAGAGGTGGCAGTGGCAGGAGTAACAGGACGCAGTAGTGGCAGCAATACGAGGACGTGGTGGTAATGGTAGTGGCAGTACCAGTGGTGGTAGTGGCAGTACCACTGACCTGAACAGAGTCGGCGAGTTGTGTATAGATGAGGTCGAGGAAGGCGCGTAGCAGGACCTCCCTACATCGGTCGTCAGAGAAGAGTTCGCTGTGGCAGATCTGGCCCATCGTCACTAGCTTCTGCGGGATCAGAGACCCCAGGCCCAGGCTCTCCAAAATCAGGATCAGGTTCTTGCTGGAAAATATTATACGGATCAACATTCTGGTAACTTATCTTGGCAATAACCTGTCGTTGACAGCAACTGACCTGAAGGATAACCTGTCATAGACAGCAACTGATCTGAAGGATAACCTGTCATAGACAGCAACTGACCTGAAGGATAACCTGTCATAGACAGCAACTGATCTGAAGGATAACCTGTCACAGACAGCAACTGACCTGAGGGATAACCTGTCATAGACAGTAATGACGTCAGGGATGATGACGGGGAGGTATTTAAGACACTGTCCCTGAGGTATGACCATCGCTTGGTCTTTGTTCTTCATGAGCTCGGCGAGCGACTCGAAGAGACTGTCCATGGACTTTTTGAACTCGTCGTCGCTTGCATTTTGTTTCCTGTAATAATAAATAATAATAATAATAAGAATAGTAATAATAATACTAATAAAATAATTAGGTAGTGCTGATAAATCAAACAGGAGTAAATGAAGCAAATCACGAAAAGCTACAAAAGTGACGTAAACGTGATGCAGCATATAAATATCATGGCACTCTTAAATGCCATTCTTTCACGAATGTCGAGGTGTTCTAAGAAAATCATTTATCACTCCTTATCAATGTTTGAATGCGTTAGAATTACTGTACTTACTCAACATGAAGTTGCCTGGACTTGACGATGAACTTGACGATGTAGGGCAGACACTTAAGCATGTTGTTAAGTTTCTTGCGCAGGTCGACCAGAGCTGTGTTACTGCAAGACTTTATGTCGTCGCTGCCGCTGCTGTACATGCTGCCGTTCTGCAGCGCTGAGTCCGAGAGACTGCGACATGAAGGGCAGAACTTTAGATTTTAAGCTATGCTTTAAAATAACATCTGTTATTGCATGACTATATCATTTAACTATGCTTAAAGTTATGCTTTGAAATGACGCACATTAGAGCATAACTTTAGCGTCTAGTATGTAGACATGTGAGTGCTCAGCTTTAATATTATTACCCTCCGCTCTTATTCTGCAGTGTTCAATTTTAATTATTATTATTATATTTCATACTATTATATTCCAACATGAGAACATGAGTGTACTTATCTTCTACCATGTGAACCTTCAGACAACAAACAATTTACGCATGAACGAGTCACATTATTGATAACTCTAAAATTATTTATTAGAGAATATAATCTACCTAATATTTCTAGTTTTTCTACTTAATTAATGATGATTATAAAAACATTAATCAATCGATACGCAAGAACCTTTCAATCCGCAACAATTATAAGGACGAAATTCCCTTCTACTAACTACAGGACAACAGCAAACACTACTCAAGTTCGGCGGCAAGTATACAAAAAATGTATGACAAACTAAGCTGCTGTCTTACAATATGCGTAATAATATCAGCAATATAAACACCAACAAGCTGCACGAGCTCTGATGGAAAACAATAACAATTTCGCTACAATTCCAATCAGACTGCAAAGTTCAACGGTCGCGGAATTTATACGTCCATGCAGAGCTGAGCTCAGCTTATAGTAGTATAGTTTCTTCAGCATTAAAGAAATAGGCCTGGATAGGCCAGTCGCCGATTCTTGTACTTTTCTTGACTAGACTGGCCTTTTGATCAAATCTTTTCAACGGACGGTAGATTTAAAATCGCTTCTAGATATCAGTTGTTCCGTAGGGTTCGAGGCATTTTAAGACTAAACATATGCTCCTGCATGGCCTTGCCTAGTCTGTTCTTGAACGCGTCCATTCATACTCGGAGCGTCAACAATATCTATCTTCAGGGAGGTTGTTCCACATGTCGGTGACTCGAAGCGAGAAGAAATGTTGTCGCGTGGATAAGTTGCACCATTATATTTCATTAGATAAAACTGTACGCAAGCACGCATCTCGGCCATACAAGTTATATATAATCACTAACTATTTAGGCTGGGACAAATTTAATTATGAGACGAATTAAGTTAAAATAAAAAAAAAATACAAATTAAGATAGTTGCCTATGCCAGCGCATTTCAGCCACCCAAATCATTCAAAGAATAAATCAATTATGGCGGGAAATTTAAATTAACAGGCAAACTAATAGCCTTGTCAGCGTTAAGCTGATGATTCTAAATTTGTGATGCAGATTGCTGATGAAAAATGCTGCTGATAATTCTGAAATTCCAATACTCCTCCAGCCAAGCAGGCTGAGCCAATATTTACTTACAGTCTGTCCCTGGCAGGCAGACTGAGCCAATATTAAGCCAATACTCACAGCCTGTCCCTGTCAGGCAGACTGAGCCAATACTAAGCCAATACTTTAAGCCAATACTCACAGCCTGTCCCTGTCAGGCAGACTGAGCCAATATTAAGCCAATACTCACAGCCTGTCCCTGTCAGGAAGGCTGACGGTGTCGTCACATAACGTCGGGTCGGACATTCGCTCAAAGTTCGACGCTGACGACGTACGCGTCGGGATCAGCTTAGAGGACGGTCGCTCGAACTGCGCGCCCTGGTCAATGTAGTGCTGCAGCAGCTTCACCAGCTTCCTGAAATTGTTATTAGTCTTATTGTTGGCATTTATTGTTATTGGCAAGTAACCACGTTGCTATTATCTATTATAATTATTGTTAAGTACCTAAACAGCTTGTCACTTCGAATGTTCACTACTTCCAGAATACCAACTAGCAAGATATTTAAAAACTAGGGCATCATTTATATATAGAAAATGCGTGATGAACGAGGAGTGGGTGAAAAAAGACATGGAAAGTGTGCAAGCTGTTCTAGCGTGGGAGAAAAATAGGACTACCATGAATGGGTCTCTCTGTTCCACTCAAGCTCGGTTACCCTTTACTCCCTTTAGTCCTTCTATTCCCTCTCCCGCATCCCTCACTGCTGTCCGACATAGTAACCCGTCCTAGGTTAGGCCATCGCCGTCCTAACTTAACCTAACCTAACCCCAACCCTTGACCGCCTCGTTTCCCTCCCATCTCCCCTTTAAATGCCTCGAACAAGAAGCATTTAACTGTTAAGAAACTAGTTTGCTGGAGATATCTTCAGGGCAAGTGCGATTGGGAAAATTAAGGAATGAACTGTAATTATTCTCACCCAAAGATCTGTCACAAATTTTCAACATTTGGAAGCAAAAACCAACGCGGATGCAAAAATTTGAGACTGTTAATACTACCATCCGTTTTTGTGCTGGAATACTATTAAAAATGTAGATTGCAAACGATATAACTGTCATTTTTATCACCTTATACTCTATCTTCGTTTGAGAGATAACGCCGGAGAGAGACGGGACTCTGATACTTCCTCCCCGGAATACCGGATAGATTCTAATCCCAAACTCAAAACTTCAGAAAATACTTCATAGTTAAAAAAATCAGTTCTTGGAAGGGCGAATCTATCATAATCAAAGGAAAAACAGGGCAGTTCCAATAATTACGACACCGGCCAACACAACCTACCGGAGTGAAGAAGAACAAACAGGACTCGATTTCAGTCGCAGTAATTTTTTAGGCCTACAGNGGTGGACGTGGTGTATTTGGACTTCGCGAAAGCGTTTGACATAGTTGACCATGGAGTGCTATTCAGAAAATTAAGACTGCTGGGAGTCGGAGGTGAATTGCTGGCATGGATCCACAGCTTCCTAACAGAAAGACTATAAGCTGTCGTTGTAGGAGGCTCGAGATCGAGCGAGGCTAGGATGAAGAATGGATCGAGTACCATAGGAAACGGTACTCGGCCCAATCCTCTTCTTCATTCACATCGCCGACATACCGTAGATGTGGCAGTGAATCACGCCTCTGCAACGTCATTCGCGGACGGCACCAGGATATTAATGACCATCACGGACAGGAAGGACTGCGAGAGGTTGCAAGAAGACCTCTGAGCAGATTCTCAGTTTCAGATTCTGAGAAACAGAGGTAGTGGAAGAGCTGTTATGGAGCAACTAGCACCTGACAACTCGGAAATCGAAGAGAAGCGACACGTTCGCGATCTATATAGGACTGTTGATGAATACTAAATGTCAAAATTGGTGATCAGATAAAGGCAATAACCGCAAGAGGTAGGCGACAGATGAGGTGGATCTGGCGGACGTTCAAAACGAGAGAAGCGGAACCGATCACACTCTTTAGAGCCCTTGTAATACCAATTCTTGAATACTGCTGCCAGCTCTGGACCATGTTCACACTCAGCGCAATGCGGCAACTGCAACCTTCACTTCCAGGATCAGAGGGATGGAAGAGTTGAACTACTGGGAGAGGTTGAAGCACCTGGGTCTGTACTTACTGCAGAGGAGACGGGAGAGGTAGGTCATTCTGTATACATGGAAAATGGTAACCGGAATGGCACCAAACTTAGCGAGCGAGATCTGCAGGATTGAGACATATCTAAACGAGAGAAGGGGGAGACTGTGCAAGATCCCCCCACTACGTAACAGGTCTGCAGTCAGATTTCAATTCCTGCGTGAAGGATAACTTTCCGGGGCAGGGCCGAGGCTGTTTTACGTCCTACCAAAGGATCTAAGAGAGGGAGAGTTCACCCTGGAGACCTTCAAGAGACGACTGAACGTGTTCCTGAGCACAATCCCAGATCGACCTCCCCTGTAACACTACCAGCGGAGAGAAGCAAGCAACAGCATCGTGCATCAACTGGCCAAAATGAGGGCGGATCCGCAATAGTCAGAGGCGGCGATCCATCGTGGCTTGAGACTGCTCCGTCCGAAACAAATACCAAGGATACTAAGCTTAGATGACAGCCGCGGGAACTGAGCAATCTTTTCGATGTAGTGCCCCATCAGCTTCCTGTAAGTTATTATTATTGGGATTGCTACTGTTAATACTGCACCACATTGCTCTTTACTATTGTTGTCACCAGTTTGGTGTTCATTTTTGTTATTCTGCAAGGAGTAAACGCTCTTATAGGAGCGAACGTTTCTTCAGGAACAAATGTTCTGCAAGGAGCATAATTTAAGATAGAAGAAGAATTCTCGCAAAAGAAGACGTTTTTTCAATGAGTAAACGTTTTTCAAGGGTCAAACGTTTTTCAAGGACTAGTTAACAATTTTCAAGGAGTAAACGTTTTTCAATGAGGAAAAGTTTTTCAAGGAGTAAACGTTTATCAAGGAGTAAACGTTTTTCAAGGAGGAAAAGTTTTTCAAGGAGGAAAAGTTTTTCAAGGAGTAAACGTTTTTCAAGGAGTAAACAATTTTCAAGGAGTAAACGTTTTTCAAGGAGTAAACGTTTTTCAAGGAGTAAACGTTTTTCAAGGAGTAAACGTTTTTCAAGGAGTAAACGTTTTTCAAGGAGTGAACGTTTTTCACGAGTTGAACGTTTTTAAGAACATTCATAGGCGGAACTCACGTGTACACGAGGTCGCTGTTGAAGTGCTCTTCAATGTAGAAGTTCACGACGGGCTGTTTGAACTCGCCCCTCCGCTGAACTCCCGCGTTATACATCACCTCGATCTTATCAACACAAAACAAGAAATGAATAATTTCGAAGTGATAGTTATAAAAGAAACCCTGATGAATATTCCTACTCGTATCTTTAGGAAGAAACAAGTGTGCCCCGGGATGTAGAATACATATCACGCAATTGACTGGTAGTCGTTCATGAAGAAATGTGGACTATATGCTATAGGAAACCATTATACATATACTATAGGAAACGACTATATAATCTTGAAAACCATAATCGAATATTGTTCATTTTCTTGGCAGATAAACAAAACCGTTACGATGGTCTGGACCAGGGGCCATACTTTCAAAACTGGCTAAGTGAACGTAAGTACTTACGCTCTATTTTCTTATCTATGATTGGTNAAGACAGCTTTATTAAGGTCATCATCGGTCGTCGCAAGGAGCTGCAGCAACACGTCCAGAGTATCCTTCAGGAACGTCACCAGCTCCTCTGACTGTACCCGTAACACTTGCGTCAGGCACTCCTTCAGGTTAGCCTTCAGCAGCCCCTAAGTGCGTCGAGGAGGTCTTATTAAACCACTAATATAAAAAGTAAACAAGAAAAATATGAAAAGCAGTTAGGAGGTCAGCCTTGGGCAGCCCCTGCACTCAGAGTAATTAGTGTGAAATTATTCAAATAGCGATACACTTTTACCCTTGTGTGAGTGCATTTAAGTGCTACATGCAGGAAGCGAGTCGCAATTTAGACAATATAACCTATTTTTTTAAGATTATAGACCCATCGGTTACAAATAATTATAAAAATCATATACGAAGCTAACAAGAAAATTTTCTAAGCACTTAGTGTACCGTAGTAAGAGCAAATAACTAATTAGGACTTAGGGAATATAAAGTGAGGATATTAACGGAACTGACCTGGCTAGGTTGCGTAGAGATCTTCGAGTCCCCAGAGTGTGTCTTTCCTTTCCATTCCAGGAGCCGCAGCAAGTCAACTGAACGAACCCAAATATTATTTATTTAACTTTGTTTATCTTCAAATAAGCTCCATCAACTTTGATGTGTTAATATTTCGTAACAAATTATCCATTAATGATTACTCATTTGAATAATTGCCTTTTTCATTCGACTAATATTCCATTAATTACAAAATATAATCAAGGCAATTCTTGCCATTTAGATTCCATTGAATAAGTCGCAGGAGACAGCAACAATAATATTTGAACGTGTCTACAAACAGTACGCTTGCTGGCTATAAAATGAGAAGAATATTTAAAATCAGAACGCTACGCGGACAGATTTATAATCTGTATAATGATTAATCATTTAATTGATTGGACAGATCTATAATCTATCTGAATGCCTACATGGATTCCACTCTTCTAATAAGAATAAGTGACGCATTTTTTCGTGTTAGTTCTCAGGAGCGGTGCGTCCTCCAAAGTTTTATATTAATTAATATTTATTTTTGTGATGAAAAAGTGCATGAAAAAACTTTTCGACACGAGCATTAAAAAAACAGAAGAACACATACAGTCAGAAAATATGAGTCTCCTCAAATGTTTAACAATATTTTTTGACGATTTAAAAGTCCACGCCAAAACCTGCTTCACACGAGTTATTTCAGGTGTAGAAGACCGTGAAAAGTTTTAAAATAAAATATAAATAAAATATACAAGTTCTGCCTTGACAAAGATACCATTTTGCGTGAGTTTGGTGGAGCAGAAGACGGTGGAGATCGAGAGGGAGTCTTTAGAGGCGTGGCTGAGGCCGGCGGGCTTAGAAAAGTTCTCCGTCAGAGGTTCTGACCGCAGGGAAGGCAGGTTCAGGTAGTCGAAATTGTTCTCCGACCATTTCTTGAGGTCAATCTGCACATATTGACACAAACTGCATTTCATCATTCATACAAGCTGCATTTCGTCGGGTCAATCTGCACATGCTGATACATACAGCACTGTATCATTGCTGCTACCTGCATAGATACAATCGGCATTGTATCATAGTTACTAGTTACTACCTGATATCTCTTCGGTCAATCAGTACATATCGATACTACCTGCATTATACTTCTGTTTGAGCAGTTTTAGTGGGCTTGCATGCGCGAATGCGAAGTCTTGAACTTTTCAATGCAAATTCTATTGGTTTTCTCGTCATTAGATATTCCGTCAATTCACAAAAAAAAAAACTTTGTTTTCGGAGCTCTTTCAACAGCCCGAGACAGTAGTTACAGGAATTGATAAGATTTGCGAGAAAAAATTGCATAATTTCAGAGGATTTGCGTCAAAATTCACAGAATTTCTCAACATTTGCGACTAAAGTCACAGTATTTCACGTACATTATAGACGTGGAGCTCGTGCAGCTTGTTGTCCAGCGTAGTGCCATTTTTTCCCAAAGGCATGAGACGCGTGTAGCTGATGGCGAACGGGCGAATTGGTTTCTCTTTACCGTCACTAAGCGATCTGTTAACAAGATATCGTCAGATACTCTCATAATAAATTATAATAAACTACTCAACATATTCCGTTTCAATAAATGAAGAAATATAGCAACCTAAAACAAAGCACATTCATCATATTATATCTATGAAGAGTGATACCTATATTTATTACACAGCAAGTGTTTTTTCTTTGCGAGACCATTAAAACAGTGATTATGAAGAGTGACATTTAATACATATTTGGTAGGTTTATATTAGCATAACTATTAGTTATATTTATTATACTAGTTATATATTTACTACATATTTAGCATCGTTTNCAAGCAACAGCATCGTGCATCTGGTGGCCCAAATGAGGGCGGATGAACGATAATCAGAGGCGGCGATCCATCGTGGCCTGGGACTGCTATGTCCCAAACAAATACTAAGGATACTAAGGATGTAGCCCTGACCCATAATACCGTGTAGCCATGACCCATAATACCGTGTAGCCCTGACCCATAATACCGTGTAGTCCTGACCCATAATACCGTGTAGCTCTGACCCACCTGTGGTTGAAAGTGAATCGCAAGTGAGCGCCCGTGTACTGCTCGATGGGCAGCGCGAGCTTGACCGTCTCGTACCAGTACGGCCGGCCCTCGTGATGGTATGTCACAGTTCGGTACTCTGCTGTACCACTCACACCAGCGCCGTAACACAGGCCGTTCTGTCACCAGTGCACAGGTATTCAATTTTAGTTTCCTCGTAAAATTTAGAAACAAAAATTATAAACTTCTCGAGTGGTTGGTAATGAATCTAGAATTGGAGCGAAAATTCATGAATTAATTTTTGCCATTTGAAGCAAAACATTACAGTGAACAATCCGTTCGCCTGCTAGAGCCGGAAAATTGTTTAAAATAATATATTAAAATGAGTAATCTGCTGCGTTGAAGCAAATTTTAAATCTTAATAATGTTTACAAACTTCAAGTATCAACGCCCTGGGTGATTTGGCCAGCACATTTAGAAAATTAATTATTGATCAGAAAATGTATCCACTCCAATACATACCTACTATATATGTTATGTAAAATAATACCAGTTATACTGATTTGCTGGCAGATATTGATTAATTTTCCCTCATGAATGTTCGTAGTTTTGCCCACCGCAGTAAACATATTGGAGTTATAAATTGACTAGTAATTTATACATATTGCACAGAATGTACAAGAATAAATTGAACGTGTGTGCAGAATGTACAAGAATAAATTCAATGTGTGTGCAGAATGTACAAGAACAAATTAAAAGTTTGCACAGAATGTACAAGAATAAATTGAACGTGTGTGCAGACACCGCTAAAACTTAGGATGAACAGAAGGACGAAGTAAGTGAGAAGCCGCAAGTAATCATGGGAAGACTAAAAAGTAAAGTCGCATCAAGAACAAACTAAGAACAGGAACATGGCAGTGTAAGTGAAGGTCCAAAATGACATGATGAAAGTAAGGCTGGAGCAGTAAAAGTTAGATAAATTCAATGCAAAAAAGGGAAGGTAAGGATTGCAAGGAAAATTTTTCGATGTTTAATCCTGAAGAAAAAGACGTCTCAAGGATAGTGGGTAAGCTTGAAATAAAGAAAATAAAATAAGATAAAAAATAAATAAATAAATTATAAAAAATGTGGGGGGTTGATTACTTAATTGGGGAAAATGGGTGGCGCATTACTTAGTGAGGGGAAATGTGTGGGGTGATTACTTAGTTAGGGGGATTCAAAGTAAGGTTTTTGCGATGTGACGGCATCCAAACTGAAAAATATGATGTAAACGACTAACTGAAGCCATAAAAATGTGTTCATAAGGTCTGTGGTTTGGATACTTTGGATACATAAAGGAAAATTTAAATTTAAATTATTAGGAAGATAACAGTAAGAGTGGATCGCAAAAAACATCGGTTTCAGGTACTTTGAGTGGCATTGTTTCGAACAGAATTAGATTCCAGCGCCGTAACACAGGCCGTTCTGTCACCAGTGCACAGGTATTCAATTTTTGGCTTCATCATAAAATTAAAAAAGAAAAATTAGAAGGTTCTAGAGTTGTTGGCAATAAATCTAGAATTGTAGCGAAAATTCATGAATTAATTTTGCTGTTTAAAAGCAAATCATTACAGTAAACAATCCGTTCGCCTGCTAGAGCAAATTGTTTAAAATAATATATTAAAATGATTTATCTGCTACGTTGAAGCAAATTTTGAATCTTAATAATGTTTACGGACTTCAAGTATCAACGCCTTGGGTGATTTGGCCAGCACATTTAAAAATTAATTATTGATCAGAAAATATATCCAGTTCAATACATACTGCATATGTTTTGTAAAATAATACAAGTTATACTGGTTTGCTGGCAGATATTGATTAACTTTCCCTCACGAATGTTCGTAGTTTGCCCACCATAGTAAACATATTGGAGTTATAAATTGACTAGTAATTTATACATATTATACGCCACACATCAACAGCGAGAGAATTTTCCTCACATTTATTAACTGGTTATATGCCTTCTACATATAAATGTGAGATAAAGAGCTACGTAATTCTCCAGACCTTGATGAGCATATTCTCGTGGTCGTAGGCCCGGACACAGACTTCGACGTTGCGGTCGCTGAGCTTGTTGCCCCTGGAGACCTCGGCGCCGACGAGTGTGATGTAGAGGTCGTTCCTGGTGTAGCCTGGCACGATCACCTCGGACAGACACAAGCGTTTGGCCACCACCACTTCCTTGAACGGCAGGTGGTGGGTTGTTAAGGAAATGCGTTATCTCGTAATAGTTATTGCCCACTTGCAATAAACAAATGTTTGGTGGAGCAAGCGTTGCTTTCGCACCGTACTCGTTCAAATTTCGGCCTCTTCAAGCTAAGCCGCTTAATAACGATACTAAAAAATATGTAAAGATAAATAGTTGTAGGCATGTTGTGAGCAGTCATACGTATACCGAATCGACAGAGATTACGTTCCGACCTGACCAGTGTGCTGCTTAATTGTAATTAATACCGTATTTTCTGATTAGGCATCAGTTACCATATTGGCACAGATTTTCTCTATAATGCAATAATGCAGCAATATACTTAACCTTAACATAAGGGATGCAGTGCGGTCATGACTTTAGCACATGCATAGTCAAGCTGTCAAGGTACATCATTCAGGGTTCCGTAATTGCACTTGGCCCATAAATACAGTTATTTAAGGTTGCCGAAATTATCTATACTTTCTGTGGAAATGACTTGGGATTCAGGAATTGAATTGAAAATTTTATCTCGTATGTCCTGTAATGCCTCCGGGTTTAAGAGTCACAGCTCTAGTTTTTTTTTTTTATTCATAAACTGTGAGTTATCGTATCATTTGGGGTTATCGCTGATAATAATAATAATAGCGGTTTCGGCGTTTATTAGGCCGTAGGCCTGTCGCCGACTCTTAAGGCCGGTCCACACGCTCAGTTTTCACAACGATTTGTCTGCGCAGTTTAAAGCCCGGTCC